GAGGATAACTTAGGGTTACCCAATAAGAAAGATTCTAATAATATGATAATTTTGATTTGATTTCATTTTGATATTTTGAGGGTTTTTTTTCAGTATTTGAAACTTTAAGGCTTACTCTAGGTTTGCTTAATCTCACCTTTTCTATAGTTTAAATTTTAAATTTCTTATGGTGGCGAAGGAGAATTTGCAATGACATATTGCTCCTGTAGTATAGCGTCCAGAGACGCAGTTTATAAAAATACATTTAAGAAACACTAGGATTGTTTTCAATTTTATATAGTTATGCCGTACAAAAAATGCATACAAATCTTCTATGATCCATTTTTAAGAAATTTTAGAAAATTAAAGTTTCTAATTTTTGCTATAACTAAAAATATTATGATTCAATATTAAAACTATTCGATTTAGTTTGTATAAACAAGCCCATATTTTAATTTTTTTCAGAATTTTTTCTATTAAAGTTGGAAAAACTAGAGGAATTATCACTGAGAAGTGAGTTGTCTAAATTTAAGCATCTCTCGAAGCCTTACCTCATAGCAAAAAATTATAAAAAATTGGCAAATTGTCCTCCTTTTCGTTACTTATACATATGCTCTTAACACATTGTTTAAAGTGTTATGCTCTTAGCACATTGAGTAAAAAAATCCTTCTTAAAACTTTTAAATGCTTATTTCATGACACATATCGTTATTTATGTAAAAATACACGCCAACTTTGTAATCTGGAACAAGTTTACAATAATTTCCTCATGGCAAAAAACTATTAAAAAAAATTGCAGAATATCTTTCAGGTATGTAAACTATATTAATGCTCTTAACGTAATATGGTTTGGACTAAGCATATAGTTCTAAAAAATTCTTGGGTATTTATTTTTTCACATGTATGGGTATTTTTGAAACATTTGACGCTAACTTTGTAATCTGAAGCGGGTTTTAAGAGAAATCCTCATTGTAAAAAAATATGAAAAAGTTTGCGAAATGCCCTCTTTCATTTATATATATATATGCTCACAACGTAACATTATTTGGACTAAAAATTGCTTCTTTATAATTTTGAGTACTTATTTCCTGACACATATGGTTATTTTAGAAATACAACTGACGCTTACCTCATAATCTGAAATAAGTTTAAAATTATTTTCTCCTTTCAAAAGATTTTTTAAAAAAATTCGTGAATTGTCCTTCTTTACATTAATTATACATATATGCTCTTAAAGCGGGTAAACAAATCCTTCTTAAAAATTTGAGTTCTTGTTTTTTCACAAATACGGGTATTTTTGGAAGAATTGACGCTCATTTTTTAATATTATTTCATTTCAAATGAGTTCCTCATTGCAAAAAATTATTTAAAAAAAATCGTAAATTGTCCTCCTTTTTGTCAATTATAATACATATGCTCCTAATAGTTGGAGTAAGTAAAACCTTCTTAAAACCTTTGATTACTTATTTCTTGACACATAAGGGAATTTTTGGAAAAAATGACGCTTACTTTGTAACCTAAAACAAATTTCAAATGAAATCCGCATTGCGAAAAATTATGAAAAATTCGCAAAATGTCCTTTATTTTTATATGTATGCTCATAACGCAGTATTGTTTGGACTAAAAATTGATTCTTGAGTATTTTGAATACTTATTTCCTGACACATGAGAATTCTTGAAAAGAAAATTGACTCTCACTTTATAATCCGAAACAAGTTTAAAATTATTTTTTCATCTCAAAAAATAAATAAAAAATTCGCAAATCGTCCCTTATTACGTTAATTTTACATATATGTTCTTAACGTGAGAAAACAAATCCATCTTAAAAATTTTCAGTGCTTATCTTTTGAAACGTATTAGTGTTTTTGAAGGAAAAAAAAAAAGACGCTCTCTTTGAAATTTGGAATAAGTTTCAAATGGATTCCTCATTGCAAAAAAATATTAAAAACTCACAAAGTGCCCTCCCCTATATGGAACTATATATATATGCTCTTAACGTACCATGGTTTGGAATAAACAAATGTTTCTTAAAAAGTTTGAGCATTTATTTCTTTTAATCTACGGGGATTTTGGAAAAATTTAACGCTTATTTTGTAATCTGAAGCAAGTTTCAAATTAAGTCCTCATTTTAAAAAATGTTTAAAATTTGTCTTTCATTATGTTTACTATATTAATGCTCTTAACGCTGCATGGTTTTGACTCAACAAATGCTTCGCAAAAATTTTGGGTATTTATTGAGACAGATGGATATACATAAAAAATTAAATATTAATTATAACTTCAATTCTATTTATTTATTCACGGTACTATTTCAGCAATAACTCATACCGGTGGACCAATTATCTTGTCATTTCTTTTAAAATTTAGGGGTAGGAGTAAACTTTGTCTTAACGATTTTACCCGCTTAGCATAATTATAACTCAACATAATTTTTTTTCATGACTCATTTGACTGAGGCTTAAAAAAAATTACTGAAATTGCTCTGTGGAAATGGTTGAAGTGAATATTATTAAGACAACGATCATTGTAATTTTAACGATAAGTTTGCGGTTTCTCGTATCTTCCAACTACAAATGTGGTTCAATTATTCATAGTTTTCAAGCACATGCATTGTTTTGTTGTTTGTTTTTCTTGTAATTGTCATTGTGGAGTGCTTTTTAACAATGGTTATTGCTCAAAACTGACAGATTACGCATGGAAAGTTGGAGATTGGTTTATTTTTTGAGTTTCATTTAAATAAATGAACAATATAAAAAGAAGTCGTTGAACTTTATTTACTACTTTGAAGATGGTAATTTCTAAGTTAGAGAAATTTTCGACGCAGTTTGAAATTTTACAAAATGAAATTTAAATTTTAATCTTTTCGATCTCTAATCCTAATATCTGTCATTTTTTCCTTCATCTTTTTTTACAAATAAATAAAAAATGCTAAATAGGATGATTTTATTTAAAAGGAGGTATTTTTTAATTGTTGAGTTACAGTGCAAAAGAAATTTTAGCTAAATCAATATAATTACATTTTGAAAGATTTTTTTCTTCTCTTTTGAATTAAATTATAATTCGATTTTTCATCCCCCAAATCAAAAGTTTTGGCCCACTGTTGTTGAAAAATTAATTCTTCAAAAATATGAATCAAAGCAATATTAATGCATCTAAAACTTTATTGGACAGTGTTCCTTAAACTTTTTTTTTATTAAATTATCCTTTATTTCTTATTTTCAAAATTATGAAACCTAATTTTATTCAAAGTACTAAATTTCGTTGATTATTTCTTATGGTTCATTAGCTGAGATGTTTGATTTAGAAACTTTTTCTAAATTTCGATTTATTCCACTATGTATCTGAGAAAAAAAAATTCCCAGACTAAGTTAATTTTTTCCACCAAATAAACATAAAAAATCTAAAAATACACTAATCCAATAATTATTATTGATTCAAGCAAATTTTTGAGATATTTTTTTTTCTTGAAACAGTTATAATTATTAGCTTTCGATTCTTCTGATACGAATCTAACTCTAATCAAATCAATTTCTAAGTGAAATGCTTTTTGACAATTTTAAAATGATTGAAAATTACTAGTGCATTTTCTTATGAAAATTTATTTAATTTTATTATTAGCTTTCTGAAAGAAAGTTAACTTTGTTGTGTTAGAGTTTTCTAAGCTAATCTTTATACACACATGGCAATCACGTGGTAAAGTTGGGCATATGGCCCTATTTCCGTCCACTATGAATGAAACGATTTACAAACTATTGTAAATAAAGTGTTCAGCACGTAACCCGCCGGCATTGCTTCTTAAACTATAGCTTACATAAGAGTATTTTTACAATTGCCGACATTGCACTATTTATTCGCTAGTGTTGTTTTTAGCTTTACAAGTTTTTATTGTGACTTGCATTTTAAGGGTGATTTTCAAAGCTTTCGCCAAGGAAAATAATGAAGACATCATTTTAAGTGCTTTACACTTGAGACAAAACTATCATTTTTAACTACAAAAATCATCTCGCCATATAGAATTATTTGGACTTTACAGCGGAAATAACTTGAATATCTTAAAAGTTATTAAACTTTTTTTAAAAAAATTGCCAATTTGGCGAAATTTTTACAACTGGAGTAACTTTAAAAAATTAGATCACAAAATGCTCTTTATTTTTACAAAACCGAGGATTTTCTTTTTGCACCATTTTCAAAGAAAGCAAAAAAAAAAAAAAGAAAAAAAAAAACATTTTGCTGGGCTAAATGTAGGCCAAACTTGATCTAGTAGTCATGAATAACTATTGCAAACTCACAGCAAATATGAAATTAATAGCAAAAAAGTTTGCTATTTCTTGCGACCAAAGAGCCTTTGAAAAACAGTCTTAAAGTGAATAATCCTCAATTTTTTTATAGTTTTATGAGCCGAAGAAATTGTAGTAATTTTCAAACAATAAAAAATTTGAGCGCAAATACTTTTTATTTTAAAAAAAATTGCTTTCCTTCAAAAATCGCCATTTTTATAAGAGGTTGCTCAAATAACAGATAACTGGTGCTTTTTTGTGATTTGTTTCTTTTTTTTTTCTTTTTTGCTTGACAAGCAAAATTAGAAAAAGGAGCAATTCTTATGCAAGACATTAAAATCCTTTATTTTCAGATTTTTTTTTAAAAAAAAAACAAAAAATATATGGAAAAAAATTTCAAGTGCAAAAATTTCACATTTGGAATGAAAATTGAATTCGCTGAAAATAAATTTTTAAAAAGAAATTTTGTTTTAAAAATAAATTTTTTAAAGAAAGAAAACAAATTTTGAAGGAATTTTTGAGGTCAAGAGTTTTGAATACAAAAGAAAAATTTAATATTTCAAATGGTCCCTTAACAGCTAACAAAGCACTGACTAGAAGTAAACAAAGTTTGACTTCACAATTATAAACTTTTCGAAAATTGTTATCGTTATTTTTAAAAACAACATATTTTTCGATTAAAATCGTTATTTCACGCGAGGAATATATTTTTTCCCCAACTCATTCTTCCCGCCATGGATCTCTAAATGGTGACACGATGGCGGAGTGCAAAACATTCTTTTACTATACGTCTTTATTGATGCAAAACCACAACTGTGGAAGACAGTCCTGAAGATGGGGTAAATCACCGGAAACTTGAATTCTAGGCTTTCCTATGTCCGGAAATCGTCATAAAGTTGCCGTCGCCATGTGCCTTCCAAATGTGAGGGACCACAAACTCCCCTTCGACCAATAGTAACGAAGTTTTAAGATTCTACATACTAGGAGGAGATTGTTTTCTTTCCATTCCTTGGAAATAGGTAACTATATTTCTCAAGGGGGAAAAAATCGTTATCTTCGGTTTTCTGCTCAGCAGTCAAGAAATTCTTAGGCGCATGGCCCTTCTAATTTTTTATACTGAAATGGTATTTATGGAAGAGAAAACAGTAAAAATTCTTTACGTGTTAAACTTTTACGGAGTTTCAAGCTTTCTCTTCAGGACATATTCTTTCTTCGTGAACTTATTTTTACTTTAGAACACATTCTTCTTGTATTTGTTTGCAGAATAAACTACACTTAAAACTTTTTTTTATATTTAAGTTTTATGCGGTGAAAGACATAAGTAGTTTTGAATTTGGAAAAATACTATGAAGCGGTGATATTCTTTTAATTTTTAAAAAAATACTAAGAAGTCTATCTTGTAGTGATATTCTATCTAATGGGTGAAATAATTCAAGTACCGTTTAATTATCTCACCTTACCTATATAATTATATCATAGGATTACCTTTCTAATTATAAGAGACACAAATTAATACAGATAAGGCTCAACATGACAGTTTAGAATGTGAAAATGAATGTTTCTAGGTATTGCAATTTATATTTCAAATACACGTTTTAGGTTGAAAATATAAATTTATTTAATCAGTGCATTAATTGCTTATTTTCTAATTCTTATTTTTTTTTTAATTAAGTGCGTTACTTAATATTTTTTCTGTTATACAAACCTTTTATAGAAAATTATTTTTCGTATTTATTCATTCATTTTAACTATTATTATTATTTGCAAGAACAGTTTGATTGCATTAAATATAATATGGGATGCCTAAAGTACAGAGAGTTTAATGAGTTGTTTTCAAATCACTTCAAAGACACTGTATGTCATACTAAGATTTATTTATATATCTGGATACGAATCTTAAAAGCCCTTAAAGGGGACTTCAGGTGGAGTTCTGTAAGTAATAATGTACGAAATTACTAAAATTGAACTTGATTTATTTATGTACTAAAAACCACCACGTTTTAATCAAAAGTTAAATCAACATTCCACAAATTCCACTAATGTAAAACGTTTTTATTATTATGTATCTATCTGTACATCTGTGAATCAATTTTCAATTCTTTGTTTATTTAAAAAAAAATATACCCTTGAATCATTCTGCATATTTTGCCTAAAACTGTATTTCTAGTTCCATTTTCTTTTAATAATTAATTTCTTTAATTAAATGAAGATAGATAAGATTAAGTTTGAATAATTCAGAAAAAAAAATCAGAAAAAAATGTATTAACTTAACTAGTAAATGAGGAAAAGGAAAGCAGCTGCCCCAAAATCTTACTTTACTTTGAATTCATTTTCTTGTAAGTCAATCTCTTACTGTAAGTGATTGCGATCTGCATGTATTTTCAGTTTTTTTTTTTTTTTTTTCGTAGAATCTCAAAAGTGAATATTTTTTTACTAATTATATGCGGATTCGAAACAGAATTGATTATGTATAATGCACTAAACGTAAACGCTCAGTAAAATTCGTCAAATACCACTCATATGCTTATCAAATAAGTTTAGTTATGCACAGCAATATAATAAATCAATATGACGAGGTCAAGACATTATCAATTTTTCAACACATTATATCTCTACACGTCGTTTTGGAGTTACAAAAAAAATAATAATAAATAAATGAATTTGTGTAATCAAATATTTTCATCTTAATTATAAGTTTCATATTTATTATTTACTTTTATACTTTTTGCACAAATATTCCATTATTTATCACTCCGAACTCTTCATTATATAGCTGTCAGAATTAGTGTCTATTTTAGAACTATCAATAGGACCCTTGTTTCTCCGCATATTTTATGCTTGCAATAATCGAAAAACCTAAACTTACATTTCGTTATACCATTTCATATCCTAAAAGGTGTTTATATATCTTTGAACTTTATTTTATACTATATTTCTTAAAATTTTCTTCGCTTTATAGCGAGTTTTATTTTTTTAAGCACATTTTCATACATTTTTTTTTCTGTTTAGCTGTATATTTATTATTTTACTACTTATTTTTAATTTTTTTTTTTTTTGCTTTAAGATGAATTTTGCCTTTTTATTTTTTACTTATTTAGTTTTGCTAAGCACCATTTAATGCAAGAGTGAAAATTATAATTCGACCAAAAGGCAAATGTTCAAATTTTCGCTTTGAAATAATACCTGAAGCAAACGCATGTAAGATTTTGAATCTTATGCAAGAGTGATTTGGTAACCTTGCATTTCTGTAACTTGGATTTTTAAATATTGCAAAGATACTTGCAATAGTGACTACAGATCAATTTAAACTAGGTTTTTTATTATTATTTGCAAAAGAGCATTCAGTTTTTCTTTCCAGCTCACAAATATGAACATGCATTTCTGGTTGCTGTCAAATTAAATATGCAAAGTTACTCTTTAGCAATGCAAAAATGTTTTCTTTTTTCCAGCTCACAAATATGATCATCCATTTCTGGTTGCTGTCAAATAAAATATGCAAAGTTAACTCTTTAACAATGCAAAAAAATTTATTATTGTCATATTCTATATTCTATCAAACATAAACTACTTCTTCTAAATACTTTTCTTAAATAAACAAAAAAATTAATATCAATACATTTTATTAAGTTTACTTTCTGCAAATAACATCGTAAATGGCCTGTTCTCTCTTTATTTACCTTCCATTTTTTTTCTTCAAAAAACGTTTTTTAAATAAGCAAAAAAATTAAAATCAATACATTTTATTAAGTTTACTTTCTGCAAATAACATCGAAAATGGCCTGTTCTCTCTTTATTTACCTTCCATTTTTCTTTTTCCAATTGTGAATCTTTTTCAATTTTTGATGTTGTAGTTTCGTATTCTGAATGTTGAATGTTTGCCAGGCTAGAACTATTATCTTTTGCACCTGAATCCAACTAAAGCTGTTATGACGGCGTTATTTTTACACCGTGTCTACCTCAAAGAAACGTTCGTTGGCACTGAGATCAGTTTGAGACGGCTCCTTGGAGATGGCACGTTTTCTCTTAACTAATATATGACCTTCCTTCTGTCCCCAAAGCACCCTCATTTTAGATAATCATACCTGGGAATCATGTCAACTGGAATCATTTAAACTGGGAATTATATCTTTGAGTCTGGGAATTAGTCATGGGAAACAGTGTAAATGCGTTCATCTTAAAGTTTGCATTATTTTTCTCAATTTATTTGCAAAGGCTGATCAAAATTAAATTACCTTACAATAGACTCTGCAAACTGATAATATTTACAAGTATGCGCATATCTAGGTAATTTTAATTAATTGTTAAATTTTGCATAAATTTTTGAATTTTATGTATATATATATATNTATATATATATATATATATATATATAACTTAATTAATAACTTAAGTGTTTGACCTAGTACAGTTTCTCAACAGCCCAAGTTTCTGTTGTTTACAGTTTCTTTTCAACCAAATTTTAAATTTCTTTTTAACAGTACCCAAGCCAAGGTGTATGTGAAATAATTTCAATCGGTGAGGGAAAAAGAAATTGTGATAGCATTGATAGTCTGCAAATAATATATTTCCACTAGTGGCGTATCTAGGGTATGTCATAGGCACATTATTTCAAAAAAGCGCATTTTTCTTTTTTTACTTAGAATTTTTTTATAAATTTTTTTTTAAAGATAGGGCTGAATTTAAAAAAAGCATGCAACATTTGAAAGAAAGACTAGAATGCAGAGAATACATGATTCCTGAATTTTATTTATTTTTACACAACCACAAGCAAAGAGAAAAGATAAACAATTTGCTTTCCCTCTTCATATCACATTGCAAGATTGTAGTCCTTTTAAATGGGTAATTATCCGGGGAGGAAATGAATGGAAACCCTTTAGGCAGAGAGGCAAAGATAGATTTTTGGTGATGAACAGAGGACAAAGAAATGTGAAAACCATGGGGTGCCCCGTTCTAGTTATCCCGTACCTAGACTAATTATCCCCTAGAAGCAAAATAACTTAGGCCCTCATCGGACCAACATTCAGGAATCTTGACTCATTAAAGATTTAAAAGGCCGTTCATTTCCGATATTGGTTTTATATAAAATTTTCTGTTTCACCCGATATCTTACAGCCAATATCGACTTTATATAGAGCTGTCAAATTAACCCGATATTTTATGTTCAGCTTTATATTGGCCGTATATAGGCCGATATTTGCTCTATATAGTACCCATTTTTTAGACAATTTTTAGCCCAACTGGAACCAAGATTGTTGTTAGGGTTCTGTAGTAAAATTCCTGTAAATCTTAATGAATACGCCCCACTATTTTGAAAAATAAAGACAGACGTAAGTGTAAGTTGTCTTGTGCTCACGCTCATATAAAAAATTCTGCTCGCCTTAGTTGTTATTTCAAAATTTAATTTAAGAAAAATCAAATATTTAAAGTCTATTTTGGAATTTTATAATCTATTTTAATCGGATCGATACAGCTTCTGGGCTTTTATATAGTTGATTCAACTATTTAAGTGAACAACGTGCACTACAAGGATTTTTTTTTTTTTTTTTGCTGTTGTTTAAGTAATCATTTCCTAAGTATCCTAATCATTTTCTAAGTATTAAGTATAAGTGAATTATACTTAATTATTAGATAGCATTATATGCGTTCGTTATATTTTCTAGAAATCACGGTGTCTATATACAGAGATACTGACTGCCAGGATTTCTCCGAAATATTTTAGTGGTAGAGGATTAAAAACCGAAATTTGCAAAATTTTGCGTAATTTTAGTAAAATTGAAAATGTAGTAAAATTTAGTAAAATTACCACGAGACAATTGAAATGAAATTGTGTTTCACTCGAAATTTCGAAATATATATACGTAGTGGCGGAAAAAATAATTTTATATCAAATTTACATAAACCAGAAATCAAGCATTAAAACATGCATTTTGCCTCCGCTAAAAAAAAATTTCTCATTAGGCAAAGCAAGTTAACATCTTGCATATGTAGATCGAGAGGGACATTTGTTACATAAACCAGT